TAGGTTTTGTAGGTTCAAAATAGGAGTAACGTAAAATTTATAGAATTAAAGGTTCAAAAGAGGAGTAAATGAATATAAGTGTCAAAGTAGGTTTAAATAAGTATATTGGTCAGTTAAATAGGTTCAAAGTATCTTCAAAAGTTTGAAAGTAGCATCAAAATTTCGACTCGGGTGGACTGTAGCCGTAACGAGTTCCCACTCCGTATTCTCTCTCGGACTCAAACTTGAACCGCGAAGAAAAGTTACGTCTATTTTCTCCGATCCGAAACCTGTTCGACTCGCAGAAACAGTTCCGGACGCGGATCTAAATTGAAACAAAACACGCGAAATTGTTATACCGTTATTTGTATCTCTGACAAGAAAAAGATGGGTAAACAGAAAGAAAAGTAAAGAACACACACGAGTCAAATGCGGGAGTGGTGAAGCGTAGACATTCGTATCTAAACACAATGGCGAAGATGCCTCGCGATCTTTTCTTTGAGATTATTCTCCGCTCGAGGAAGATGTAAGATTTTGAGAAAAGATGCGATCGTCGAAGTTGTATACATCGTAATAAAACGACAAGAATTAAAAAAAATATTTTCTTCTTCGGAACAAGCGGGAAGAGAAAAAGCCAGCGAGGCTTGTGGTTATTATAAACAGAATTTACGCGAGCTTAGAGCGAACGAAATTTTCATTTTGTTTTCCGAGAAATTTTCCTTTTCTCTCTTCTCTTGGGTGATTTTTTAATCATCAAGCTTCCGCATAATATTTTTAAGGTAGAAGAGCATTTCCCGAGCGAGGCGCACAAACCGCGTTCCGCTCTCATATCTAATTTAGTCGTTTGCGATGAACGCATTCCCGGCACGTACGGCGCGAGATTCTCGCGCACAGGGATGACAAGCGTCGCGCGACGCCCTCCTCGCATCGTATACGTAAACGGAACGTGACGCCGCCTAAGGTATCCACGGCCGATCAATGGCACGGGCCAATTATAATTAGTCGGAGGCATCCGCGCAAGCTCAATCTATGGCTCTTGGTGACTATGTTGACACTCTCAGAAATTTTGGAACTTGATCGAACGTAACAACCGAGAACAAAGAGATATTTTCTCTCGGTTTACATTGTAGAGAGTTCTTGGTTACATCATTCAAAATTATTATATCCTCTACAGATTGAGCGGGAGTTGATTTCTCATAGCAAGGATAAACTCGCGTCAAAAAACGACGAAACAATTACAATAATATACAAACAAACACTTTAGATTTCAAGAATACGAGTGAAAAATATTGTAACACGGCTCTGTAGTGTAATATAAACCTCTCTCTCCCGATACGCATAATATTTCACATTATTCTATTATTTTTTTTCAAATTTAAAAATTGCATATAATTCGCGTAAAATGTAATTGTAGTAAATTATAACGTGTGCAGTTACAATATTTTTGATACGTTTAATAATGCAGAATATTCGTTAAATTACATTTCATATTATTCTATTCGCACTTATAAGAATGAACGAGAAATTAATATGAAATCAGATATTGCGTAATAATAAAGTAATGTATTCTTGTCTGGATAAATAAAAATTTTTTATCGAGGTTTTGACTTATCCGAGAATAACAAAAAAAAAAAACATCACGTGTATCGACACTTACCTGAGGTAGGGATTGCCATATGTCGCGGAAAATCGTGGATCGATCACTGGTGTGGTCTGCGGGGTCGAGGTGCCCAGATTGGCTGAGCTAAGACCGATTTTTTTCGATGACAGAATACCGCCTGACGGTATCCTGCTCAAGGATTCTCGAGAGGCGCTCTGTGTCGTTGGTGGCATGTAGTCGCGAGTATAGTCAACATATGGTACGTAACCGTTATTGTTACTACCATCCTACCAGAACACACGTATAATTCTATTTTTTTTTTTAAATGTCGTAACAAACAAACATGCAAAGAAACACAACAACAAAGATTTATTGAAAAAAATTCAACTTTTTCGTGTGTTTGTTAGAAATATTTTATAATCATTAGAAAGAGATTGATATAAACAACTTACGTTATTTTTCGGCGGGAAGGAGGGTTCGGTGTAATCGGCGCTGTATCGATACCCAGATAACGGGTTCGGCACAGGACCGGCAAGAGCCAAGGCGTTAACACCTCTCGTACTTCCTTCGCCTTCGCTGTCAAGTGCCGTGACACTTTCCGCGTTGCTGACACTAGATCCCGCTCGAATGTCTGCTTTGACATCCGAGAGATTACTGCTCCTGTCGCTCTCTCTGTACCGATCAGCGTTGGAATCGGTCTCTTCTGTATCAATAAAAAAAAAAAAAAAAAAAAATATTGCAAGATGATATATACATATAAACACGTGTCACGAAAGTTCTTTAAAAAAAAAGAAAGAAAACAGAAAGAGAGACGTCTTTATCTTGATAACTATATCTACATATAGCATATTTATATAAAGATAGTAAGTTTATATTCATATGTAGCATATTTGAGTGGAAAACAAAATGCGATATTACTCACGCATATCGGTCTCTTGTGCCTGCGTCGTTCGTGGTCGTGGCTGCTTAATGCGATCGCGACATTGTACAATGAGCATGACAATTATGCCAATAAGAATCACGCAGACAACCAGCCCGGCGATGATCAAGATCAGTTGCCAATCGACTGGAATCAACGCTAAGCGTCACGCCTAGTTAAAATCTCGTTTGCCAGATGAAGAACGATGCGCGCTGCTTATAAAAATATCGCGTCTCAAAACTCTAATCGAGTACGAGTAGCGTCAGAGTTACAATGCTCTTTTCTAAATAATAATTAATGCTTGATGTAAATTTCTTATTTAAATATTTGTGTTTTGTAGATACGTATGTACATCTAGTTTTGTGATCCGTATCGGAAATCAAGAGGCACGGTAGTGCCTCGCGCCAAGTTCACGCGCAATGCAGTCACGTGACTTTACTTTAGTCACGTGTCTTTAAAAACGTGACTAAACGTGATATCTTTTGTCACGAGACAGAATGTATCAAAATATATACTTCAGTTAACCTTTGTTATTTCATGCACGCGTTGTGCAATCTTGTATTTTTATAAATTTTCACTGGGATATTTTTCAAGCGATCGCGGAGAAATAAAGAACTTTTGACTCGAGAAGTCTATAACGTTTGATACAACATTAACGGCAACTCACTTATTGAAGACAATTATTTGATCGCGAACGACGGTTAAAGTAGTTTGCAAATCATTAACCGGAGAGCTGGCTGCGCAAATGAGCTGATCTAAAATCTCTCTGATCTTTTAGAAGCACTAACGGCGACGACAAAGCGTTTTGCTGCGGTCGCATTACTCTTACAAATTGTGATCTTCCAAGGCATTGTTAAGCATATAAAGAGCTTCATCGCGAACAGATTGGAATCACCGGAATTGTTAAAAAGGCATTATACTACACGTTTGAATTTCTCCCGATGTGTTTCTAAGTAAATGGCTCTTAGAAACAAAAACTCGAATGTTTTACGATGAATAAAAAGAAAGAAAAACAAAACTACTTTCAGTCACTGAATAAGCGAAGTATTGAGAAGTACACTTCGCTTATCTGATCTTTAAATATATAGATGCATGAAATATCGACGCGTTTCGGCAGCGTCATCTTCCGAATATATATATATATATATATATATGTATGCCAGTAAGAGGCTCTGGCAGTATTTCAACCGCCTAATCACCCTTAAACTACTTTGCATACTTTCAATCTGTTTGGAGAAGAGAATCGATTTATAATAACTTCCCTCTCCCCCTTTCTCGCTGTCAGATTTCGCCGCAGATCTATCTATAATTCTTTCTACATATAGTCAAATAAATCAAAGAAAAGAGAAATTTGGAAACCAAATGTGTACGCTTGTGTATCTCCACATTTATCTCCGTCTTATTTTCGTTATTAAAGTTTTATTCAATTTAATATCTCAGTTCATTCCCGACAAAAATATTTGAGAGGATTAAAAAAATAGAAAAATATTCGTGTCGAACTACGTACGACCACATTTTACACACGCATCTCTACATAGTCAAACATATTTTCGTCGGCTCTCAATAAACCCGTATATTGTGCGCACGCGTGACGAGCAAACACGACTTCTCCGAATCGTTAATATCATCCGATCGTAAAATTAAGATCCTTTCTTCTTTCATCGCGCTCGTAAAACTGTTCGTTTAGTTTAACGATTATTTGGTGACGTGATGCAAGTTTACGCGATTATTTGTCTGATTATCACCTTCTGATGAAACGTGTGACCGTAAAATGTTGTTGCGACATCATTGTCCTTCAATTGTGAGAACTGGGCAACGCGATCGATGGCTCCGTCTAACTTTTTATCCCAGGAATATTTTACACTCTACTTATATACCTCGCTATTATTAGAAAAGATGACGGCCCGAATCTAAATACGTTGCTCTGAGTGTATAACACATCGCGGTTCTCATAAAACTCGCGAATATCGAATTATTTTCTCGAGTGAAAGTCATGTGAAATTTTTCGCGTTTTGTCACATTTAAATTGATCAAAATATTGCCAAATGCTAAATTGAAACGATGAAGAGTAGAAAAAAATTGAAAAATCACTACGGAAGAACTATGGATTTTTTTACGGAGAATATCTCGTTCTTTACCAAATAGAATTTGCTCTTATCGCGAACTACCGTCAACATCCGAGACATCGTTGCGGATCCTCGGAAGTTTATTAACGCAGATAAGATGCGCGATCGCGCGCGCGCGACAAAGATGAAAATGTACGATAAATAACTTACTGTGCGCCGTCAGCTTGATGATGACGGAATCCGTACCGTAGCTGTTCGTGACGGTGCAGTTGTAATCTCCGAAATATGTCGATACTGGATCCAGCAGGGTGACAGTGCTGACTACCTCGTTGGCCGTGTATTCCTCTTGCACGTAGAACGGCGTATTGTTCAACGTGAAATTGAGCTCGCGACCGGCGAAGCTCCACACCACCGATTCCGCTTTTGGCACGGATATCGCCGTGCACTTAACCTGGGAAGCAAATCGGGGAAAATGGTGGTGGAATAAAAAAATTGCGGTTAAGCGCGAGTGCACCCCTCGCGCTTCCTCACCCTCCTCTCCCCCCCCCATTTGTACTCGTCAACCGGCACCTCTGTCTCTTGTAAAAGTGTTTCAAGTAGTGAAAGAAAGAGAGAGAGAGAGAGAGAGAGAGAAAGAGAGAAAATTTGTGGGAATGGCATTGCACACGATCATAGCGAGCCCGTCCGTGTGTCGGCATATATGGCGTTAGCGAAAACGCTTGGACGAGTTTCGAATGTGAGTTCACCTATATTGAAACCGAGGGAAAAAATTCATACCAATATACTGTCCGCGCAAACACATCTACCTTACACTTTTCTGAATTGAAATGAAAAAAATAAATAAAAGAAACAAGAAGTAAAATTAAAGAATTGAAGAGGAATTATAGTTCGTGTCGTAAAAACAGTGAGTACGTGTTCAATTAAAAAAAAAAAAAAAAAAAAAAAAACTGAAGTCGAACACTTATAACTCAACAATCGGACGCGCGTATCTTTGTATATAGGAACATTTCTCGTTTTCACGCGAGTAAGCTTGTCGAAGCTGCTTAGAAAACGCCCAACATTTGATATATTCAGCTTGATAAATTCCATGGCGTGTTTTCATATCGCGAATAAAGCTAAATTATCTAGAGTAAATTATACTGAGTGCTTCCTGATAACTGCCGCTCGCGACTCAAAAAGATCTTTCCGAGGTGGCGGGGTTGGTTTCGCGCAATAATAATTCATGATACGCGCGCAGGACGGCGGCAGGCACTCAAGAAAATTACGCGCGAGGTCGCGCGTCTCTTTATACGCTCGATAAGCGCGACGACGATCGTCGTGTGTCCGTCGCCGCGTCGTCGTTGCCGCGAGCTATTGATAATACATTTAATCGCTCACCGACGAAGGACACACACCGTCCGTCGGTCGGAAGAACATAGTATACCCAGCAAACAAAATGGTGGCAACATGCCGGTATTATGCAAGCATGCTTTCAAAGCGTGATGTCTCTGTGATTGCCAGATACAAGTTCATCTAGCAAGCATCGCGATGACACGTTACGCTTACCACTCTATGCAAGCTTTGTGCAAGCAGAATATGCGTCAAATTGAAAAGTGTCGACCTCTGTCGTCATTTATCTCATTATTTTTAGCATGTCATGATATCAATTTGCTAGCATACCAACGCGTGGCATCACTGAACAACACTGTACCAATATATTGTTCACATGACATGCTTTCACGGCGTGCTGACACGTGATGTTTGCTGGGTAGTTAACGCACCTTGACCACTCCTTCGTCCGGCACATATTGGATCCTTTGCGACACTATACTCGGCGGGGCGCGAATATAGATGTTGGCGTAACCGGTCAATTCTGAAAAGCCGGGCACGCGGGCCTTGCAGTAGTAACGGCCGGCGGTGTCCGGGCTCACAAAGACGCTTATGTTCGGGCTGGTGGCGACCATGCGCTCCGTGTCCTCGTGGTACCACAGGATCTCCGGCGTTGGATTCCCGTCTACGTCGCATTGCAAGATCTCCGTTGCGCCGAAACGGGTTTCCACGGAGACCGGCGGGTGCCGAAACTGCGGGCCGTCTGAAGAAATTCAATTTTAACCTCCGGGTCAGTTCCGCGAAATGAACTTGCGGAAAAATGTTACTTCCTTATCGCCGTCTATTCCGGGTACGGCTTATTTCGTGAGGAAAAGGAAGGAAGAAGAAAGAAAGAGAGCGAGTACGCGTTTCCGCTCTATTTTATATCATTACGAGATTTTCACCTTTAATATACCGACGGCTTTTTCAAAGTGTGCTCTACGATAAGGCGAAATTTTCTCTTACCTCCGGGGGTCTCGGAAACAGAGCCAGCACGCGCGCACGGGCACATGCTCTATTTTATATCTTTACGCGATTTTACCTCTAATCTGCGGACAATGCGCCTTGGGCGACGCTTTTGAGCAGCAAAACTAGAAATTTATTTTTTCAGACGCGTCAACGAAATTAACGCTGTAACATTTTTACGTGAATTTTTGTACGATGTTTTTAGAGATAGAAAAAAAAAAACCGAGTAAGCGATATTGAAATCTTATTCTCTCAGATAAGAAGTGCGAGAAATTAAGTTTGACACTTACATCTTATGTCCAAGGTTTGGCTCTCCTCGCTTTTACCGACGTCATTGGAAACTTCACACTTTACAGTTGCGTCGTGCAGATCGCGCGTGGCGTTGTGGAGAATCATCTCGGTGGTGTAATCTCCGATTAACTTTTTCTTGTTAATAAACCACCTAAAAAGGAAGAGACAATTTTCTTTTTCGCGCGACAACTCGAAATATTTGCGAACGCAATAATAAGCCATTTTAGTAATGGGCCAAAAATTCACAGATTATCAGACATTTTCCCGCACACAACTCGCATTTTCCTCTACTATTATTCCTGTAACTTTTTTAGCGTCGCCTTTTCCCTATCTCTCTCTCCGGATCAATACGACTTTTTAATGGTCGCACGTTGCAGCCGTACGATTATATTTCTGCGACTTGGTGTTGAAATAAGAACTTCTTTTGCTCCGAATCTGCTATGTCGACAGAATATATTCAAATTGATATCATGAAATTTAAATGATATTTGATTTATGTCTTTAATTGCTACACGTGTATGTACTTCATAAAACTTTAATTATAGACTATTTCTAAGCGTATGCCACTTTTTAATAGATTGTAAAATTTGATTAAGGTTAATAAGAAGTTAAATTTTTTAAATGATATTTTAGTGAACGTAACCGCTTCGAATTTCGATGTTAACACGCTCCTTTTGTCGGGGGAATTGGAAAATGATTAAAGTGTTTCGTTACACATTTTCCAATTCCCCTGACAGAAAACGAGTGCGATACTATCGAAACTCGAAACGGTCAGGCTCATTAGAATTTTATTATTTTTTAAATTTCATTTTTATATAACACGATTTTTACAATCTGTTATTAAAAGCGCTAAAAGTAGTTCGGTATGTATTTATACTTCAAAAGTCGATTTAGTAGACTCGATCGAAAGAAGAATACCCGCCCGTGAATTTTGTAACGTTAGTTTAAAGACATTCTGTGCTTTTGTGACGTTTTCTTAACCGCGAAGTGCCTCTCGCCACTCGACTTTTGCCAGCCGAGGCGTCCTCTCGAAGGATCCGAGCGATTTATCTCGAGCATCGTTTGGCCGCACAATCGACGAAAAGAGCCTCGGCGTCGTCGTTTCGAATGGTAATAAACGGGCGAGGGCAGACTGCGCTTTTCACCGTGGCGAAACGGCCTTCGCGTACAATCAGCGGAAGAGAATAAAGAGAGAGAGAGAGAGAGAGAGAGAGAGAGAGAGAGAGAGAGAGAGAGAGAGAGAGAAAGAGAGAGAAAGGAAGAGAGACAGAAAATCGAGAGAGACCCGAATCGAACTGGGACGACTTACCGGGTGCTCGTGTGTCTTCTAAGAGAGAGAGACCGTGTACTGTGTGCACCACCGCCACCAAATTCCCCCTCCCCCCCTCTTCACTGGTTCACTTCCACTTCTCTTCTCGCGTTGCGATCGATTTTATCGGGGCCGTCCGACAGACAATTTAGCTCGCAAAGATGCCGGGAAAAACGCGGTGCAGCGTACATTCGCGCGAGCACCGTGCCATAACGACTCGATAAACATTGAGGTGTCTCTAGGTCATCTCTCGTATCTTCCGCTAAAGATCAACTCTCTTCCGCGCGTACTTCTCTCTACCGGGTGTTCGAGCAAGAACAATACGCAATTCGAACACCACTAATCGGAAGACATCTCGAGTTGAACAAAACAATTTTCTACTCCGAAAAAAATTTTGTCACATTCCGCTTAATATATATATATTTTTTTAAATTGTCAAAAGTTTTTTGTGCATACGCCCGCAAAATTGCACAATTCTCAACGAGTTAACTTATATATCCAATTCTTTTTTTCTATCTTTACGAAAACGTTTTTCTTGAAAAAATGTTTTTGCTCATTCAAAAACTGTACAATATACTTTATGACGATTTACAAGCGCATTTGTTAACTCAACGCGCGTGTAAAGGCAAACGGAAATCGCGTCATCGGTTTCTCTCTTGTTGTCTCAGTTTACTCTCGCGTTCGAATCACTTTTACAAACGGGACGACGAGTGTAAAAGCTACAAGAGCTACGGAAGCTACAAAAAGCTGTTAAAACGCCTGGCAACTAACGTTCGTTATCGTCACTACAATGCGGCTGCTCTTTACTCGGTTCTCCGTCTATCCTATTATCCGTGAATCGCCATAAGCTGGTCAAGTTTCTTTTTTTTTTTTTTCCAGCTTCAACACACATAGTACGCCTGGAGCAAGAACGGCCACGACTACACAGTAAAAAATCGTGCGTCAAAATGTAGAACTTTTCTTGTGTTACGACGTTTTGATTATTACTTCAATGTAAAATTAACATAATACTGATATGTTATTATTTTTTTAATCTTTTCACGTGTTAAATTTATGTTAACTTCACAAATTAACANACAAATATAAATGTAAAGTATTGTGTCAATTATTTAACTTTACTAGTTTGTCAATAAGTGACTCACAACGAATAAGTTGTTTTAACTTACAATTTAGAGTGGACCTCCTGGGACATGCAAAAAATGTTAAAATTAACATTTTTTTTTTTACTGTGTAAAACAACTCGATTTTGAGCTTTTGTATCCGTGTAAAAGCTTTTTGTTCGGTTTATGTTTAGGAAAAACGTCGCAACTTTAAATCCCTGTCCGCAACAGAAAATTTACCGAAAAGAAATCGTTGCTTTTGACTTTAATTGTGTCAAATTAATTTGCAAAAAACACACACGATGAAACTCTTAACGTGGCACGCACACGCGTGAAATTGTTGCAAGAGTTTACGTTGCCCCATCATTTATTTATTTTCGTCACAAAAACAGTTTACTTTCAAAGTTAGAGACCGAGATGTTTTTTTTTTCCAGATGTGAAACGCGCGCGCAGTTTTCTCAAGAGTCGGCAATTTTGGACGAGCCGCCCGATTTAATCTCGAGCGCGCGACGATCCGATAATCTCGTAAATTAATACGGCGCGTCATCGGACAGACGGTTCTTTTTTTTTTTCCCCCGACGGGGACGTTGCGTAACGAATAATTTAAAAGCAATCAAAGCGGGTCCGCTAGGTGAAACCCGCAAACGCGCGCGCGCTCCCCAGGTTAACACGTTGCGCGCGCAACGCCGTCCTGAATTTGACATTGTCCTCTTTGTAGAGGCAGGATATCGATCATCCGCCTTCTCTTTGTCGCTCGCAGCCAATGTACGAACAACGCGACTCACGTTTTGCTTACGCGCTCTCGCGCGCGCGCTTGCTGCATGCGCTGACGGCGTCGTTCACCTGTAGCGACGTTACCGAGCAAACTATCGATATTTTGGAAACTTTAAGTAGCTTAGGGTTCTCTCGTTGGAGACGAACAGATAGCTTAAAGAGAGAAAAGCTGATATGAGAGTCTCTGATATCTGATGTTATTGTTAAATAATTATAATCGTATCTTATACACTTCCTATAAGTACGGAGAAGTTTCGGTTTAGCTTGAGAGATCACATTTTCAAGCAAATATAAGAAGAAAGAAAAATAGAGAGAAGAAAAATAGAAGAGTTTATAGTTTGAATGAGAAACTAAACATTTTTGATAAACAATTGAATAATTTTTAACACGTAAAAAAATTGATTCAACATCATTTGTGGATTAATAATAATGTATTAATAATGTTATCTTGTGCGTTATTGTGTGCGGGCTATTTTCCTTGCTATATATTAATTATTATATAACTATAGAGCAATTATTAAGTAGCTATATTGAAACGTGACCCCTAGTCTATATTGACCTTATCGAACAACGTGAACGATCCAATTCAAAGTATAGCCACCGTAAACTGTTGAAGTTTACTTCGTTTTCATTAAATAATGATTGCCTTGTAAAGTATACGAGCTTTATGTACTATTTTACGTCAAGGTAATCTTTCAAAACTTGTTTTTACGTGCGCGTGTAAAGAGATAGTTCTTTAATTACTCTAAAACATTATCTCGCTTTTATATACAAGTCAATTGGATCTCTCCACGTGTCAGCGAGCAATTGCGTGTGTTGTCGATGTTTCATTCTCTTCACTCACCTGTACTCCACGTCAGGCGGATTGGCCTCGGCGCTACATTTGAACCTGAGTTCCGAGCCTTCGACGATGCGATCGATCTTCGAGAGGGACACCTTCGGTGCGTATCGCACCTGAAAACAAAACGCGTAAATCGAATTTTCCGTCTTTTCCCCCCTGTTTCTTTTTTTTTTTTTTTTTTTTTTTTTGCCTATATGTTCTATCACACAGAAATCGAATACGGTCCATTTGATATTACCGTCATGCTCTTATCCCGAGTGTACTACTCGTGCGTAGTACGGAATAATAATGGTGCATATCCATTACCACGCGCGTTTTGAAAGTTTCGAAGCGTTCGTTATATATTTCACAGAGAAATACGAGATATTTCGTAATATATCTGTCAAACTCGATACACACTTTTTTTTTTGGAATTAAGTAAAATTTCAATTTTCACAATTTGTATTTCTCTCTTTTAGAGAGACACTCTTATATTTACACATCTATACGCGTCTCATTTAAAACGCAAGCTTTATCGAGGGTGATTTTTCGACAATCAGACGACATTTTGATTAAATGTCCCATCCAAAGCAGATCACGAAAAAGCAATCGGAAAAGTGATCATATTTCGACGACGATATTTTTAATAGAAAAAAAACCGACTTTAAATTAAACCGAAAGAGCTTGTAGACTAAAAAAAAAAAAAAGTAATAAAAGTGAGACTTCGTATTGAGACTATATATAGGGTTATTTTATCGAGGCGTGCGCGGGTGATAAAGAAAAAAAATTGGTCGTGGAAATACGAGGTCACATCTCGCTCGAACTCGCTTGCGTAAGAATTGCTTCCAATTAGGGCGATATTAACGTCGAACTTATATTAGCAGTCGTGAAAAGCACCGAGACAATATATCCAGTGTGGCGTAAAAGAGTTAAGTAATAACTCGTGAGAAAATTTTCTGCAGGTCGGCGCGGCACGTTATGTTCATAATATCGCGCCGACCGTCGTCGTCGTCACAAATTCGAACGTTCTGCCAGGCAAAATCTCTGCGAGTTCGCTTCGTTGCCCTTTCCACGGAACTATTTGTTCCCTTTTGCCACTTCGGATAATGGAGTCTACGTCTCTGAAGAAAAGAGGGCGGAAGTAGTACCCGGAGAGCGCGCCAAAGTACTCGCGCGCTCGCAGCACGAAAGTTGCGCCAACGGATGGCGATTACCGCGCGCGCTAACCGCTTCTCAAGACACGACGTTAATTATTATACGTCGCCTCGTTACCCTCGTTACCCCGCCACCTTCCCCTTTGCCAGCTACGCTTTCGTGCGACTCGCGTTAATTTCTTCCTCCGGTCAGCGAGTAAAAAGAGCGGGCGCGCGCGCGTAAAAGGCAGTGATTTTATTTCTCTTTAAGCGAGATTTCTATCTTCCCCCGTCTTTTTTCATTTCGTTTCATTTTCCTCTGATTTTTCGCTGTACGCCGCGCGCGCGCGCCGGTCTCGATGACATTACTTTTTCTCAATGTATTATCGTCTACATCTCTGATACATTGTATAATTAGCTCAAGGGAAACTCTGTGCTAAAGTACGTATCTGTGTAAGTCTCCGGGTTGGTTGTTAATTAGTAGTCTAATTGCTGGCATCACGTACCTCGACGCGAATTTTGGCGTTTTGCGGCGTACGATCCGCGGCGTTTTGACTTTGGCACGTGAACGTAGTGTTGTCGTGATCCTTCCGTGGCATAACTCGCAGGACGGACCTCACCGTGTACAGAGGACCGTTATCGTACAGCTCCTTCGTGGTTTTGATGCCACGATGTAGCACGTTGCCCAGTCCATCGATCCACGTGATCTGCAAGAAACGTTACAGTTAAAAATAGCGTCGCTCGAGAAAACACCCGCGCAAGGGAATTGACCCGTGACCGGAATCCCTATGCTTTTATTACCATAATGGTGCCCTCGTGGACCTTAAAAACTTGTAGCTTTTTTTCTTCACAACAGTTCGGGCTCCACGTTTTTTTAAAAAATTATTACGGTAAATTATAATTCAGATACATTGTTGTGTGTATATATCGAAACTTTTAAATATTTTTACGCGAAGTAATGAATGAATCGGACTTTTCTTCCAAATTTTGTGCCAAGTTGAAAAATTTTATTGCTTCGCACGCATACATCGTGTGTAAGCAACACACGAAATAGCATTTGTTTCCGTATTATAGCGTAAGTTTCCGTAGCGCTTAATTATTATCATATATATTTGTCCGAAATTTTCGTATGGATTCTGTTTGCGAAGAAAAATCGATAATTGCAAAATTTGTTAGGCAAAATATGATTCGCGCGATCAATTAATAATGAAGTTGCGAGTGAACGAATTTCCGTGCATAATGCCGTAACATGATTGTTCTGCCGGGCCTGTTCAAACACAATCGCGCGCTGGCGTTCACTCGCACGCACGCGCATGTGCGTGCGTGTCGCGGAAATCAAGCTTATCGGTTCTAATTAGACACCTCATGCGAGAGTTCCTGCTGTTTGTTATCGATATGAGATCTCCGGGCTGCAAGTGCCGCAGCGTCCTTCCGCGTTAGGGATCAACTGCAATAATCGTATTTCCACATACTAGTGCCGCTATGCTGATTAGAATTCAACGATACCGTATCACGATTCATTCACTCTTCGCACGGTTTTTTGTTTTTCTATTGTTTTTTTTTTGTTTTTTTTTTATTTTTTTATTTTTTTACAGTGTGTATTAACAATTTGTCAATTTCACTCCCGAGCGGATATCAGAAGAAAACGCTTTGCGTTTCGTGATTGTTTCGATAAGTTTGTTTTTTTTCTTCACCTGCTATATTTTATATTTGTTAAATAAGAATCACGATATGTTAATATTTGCTCTGTAGTTTTTTTATTTCTGTTGTACGCTACACGTAAGATACGAAGCTATAGCTGTGTTGCAATGCCTGATTAGAATATTCAGGATATCTATCAAACGTGAGTAATAAATTTTGCGATCTGTCTTAAACGCCTAAAATATCGTTCTAAGTTCGTGTGTAATATGTTACACACGTGTAATATATTACACACTTTTGGTTATCAATTTTCCAATGTATAAGATCAAAACTCTGATAACAACAGTTTGTATCGTACAAACTGTGTTCAAGAGTATGCGATACTATTGCTATCACACGATGGACGATGTTGTTACAAAGTTGTGGCACGTAAATATACATATAAATATACATATCTCAAAGTTCAAAATATGACATAACCCGTACGATCTGATGTGTTGTATCAAACACAGAGATACTTTCAACGCTCGAACAAAAATTCGCTTTGATTCAGACCAGTTTGCTTTCTTCTCTCGGCAATCAGCTCGGATACACTTTTTGTTGACACCTTTCCGTGAAGCGGGTTCGTTTAGCCGCTTTTCTAATTGCCGCCCTCCGCAGGAAATCGATCTCGTCCGCTCTAATTAGAAGTTCTGCGGTCCCGCGATGCAGTACCATTTACTATTGTGTCACGAGTGCGAATAAAAATTACCACGCAAACTACATCCGCCTAAAAGAGCGAAGAACAAAGATCGGAGAGCGCACCTTTTTATACCTCTCTCTTATAATTTTCCGGCAGCGAGATATGCAAGTTTCATAAAACACATACACACTAGCGCGCGCGCGCGCACCACACACACATCTGCACAATGCACCTAACCCGGAATGTACTATTATTTTTTATGTTAACTCTGTCATTCTGCGAGAGAAAAAATATTGTAAATGTGTTGCTGAAATATAAAACCGGGTGTACTAACCGTACGGATTAAACGCCATGTATATAATACATATGGTAAAAAGCATTCACGGCTATAATGATACGCCGTAAAAAAATATTCATCGCACAGTCACGATCGTGACGCTCTAAGAGATCCAGTTTTTATTGTTTAAATCTTCGTTTTATATTGTCCAATAAATACGCCTCTAGAACTGATCTCTATCAAAAAAAAAAAAAAAAAAAAAAAAAAAACACGTGCTGTTTCGTGTTTAATCATTCAGTGTGTTCCCAGTTCTTTTTTCTCTTTTACGTTGGCATGGTTTTCATCAAAGCATGCATTCTGCATTTTCTGCTTTGCAGCAATGGAAATACGCGCGGTTAGATGCCCTCTGGACTAAAGATTTCGAGACGCGCGAGCGCGCGAGTCCAGCTTTATTACGAAGCGTATTGAGAATCGTATCAGGATATCCCGTAGCGGTTTTCTCTGGTAAGATGAATAGATTCACAACTAATAATTTCCCGTGGGCATCCACGCGCTCCCACCCCAACACCGCCGCTCTGGACCACTCGCGCGATGGACAATAGCTCTGAAAGTGGAGTTACGGGATGTAGAATAAGCGACGCAGCGAGGCGGAGAGAAAACGCTAGTAGTTATAGTGATGGAGCGTGCGCAAAGGAGGAGAGGAGAGAGAGAGAGAGAGTGGAGAAGGTGTTGAAGAAAGGTGGAGGGTAGAGGGACGGGAATTGCGCGAGTAAATGCCCTATCCCGTTGTTGGAGCTGTTTAATTACTAGTTATCAGTTGAAAGGCAAACGGGGAGGCGCGCAGGAGAGGAGTCGAGGAAAGAAGAAGAGAGAAGCAAAATCGGATTATGGCGAGAGCTGCGAAGCATTCGACTGTGGTGACTCTGAATTTCTAGCAGAATTGCACCATCTCTCTCTCCTCTTCTCTTCTCACTCTATCTCTCTCTCTCCCGCTTTCTCTTTCTCTTCCGTACGATTCACCTAATGAAGGCCGATAAGACTGCTATAGATTCAGCAATATCGGCGGAGCTTAGACGGAGCGGCCAACCGAGCGTCTCTCCAAGAGAACGAGAGACGGGGCTTGTACATTAAGTCGTAAAATCGAGGAGATCTGCATTTATTAAATATTTCCTTCGATTTTATTTCTCGCGCGCGCGTAGATTCTCGGAATTTTTCAAGTCGAATCAATCAAGGCAATCACAATAAATGGTTGTTGCTCGCATGTGTATATAGATATATATTTTGTACGTTTTGTTTGCCATCCTCTCTCCATTTCAACGCACTTATATCAACGTACAATAGTATCTATAAATACAACAAGTGCAATAATATGGTAATATAAAAGCAATATTAAAATCTCATCTTAAGGGAACTTGCGGTATTTTGCGAGGGGAATTTCCGCCGCAATGCGATAGAAAGTTGCCGGAACTTCAGAAAGTTGCCGAGAAGGTGTGAGAAAGAGAGAGAGAGATAGAGAAAGAGATAAGGGAGAGAAAGAGAAAAGAGAGACGGTATCAGAGTGAAAGTGTAACGGAACACAATGATTTAGACAATTGTGTGAGAATTCGCGGCGAATAGACGTCACGTGTTTGGGAACAATTATTAAACGCTGCTTAATATTAATTTCGAGATTATGCGCGGTGAGAAGAGATGACTTTGTAGTTACTCGAGACTTCGTGGGAAATTATTTCGGAAAATCCTCGTGTTTTATTCATCTCCTGTAAACTCCTCGATACGCGCGAAGCGCAGCAAAAAAAGAATGCAAAGTAAAAAGAGCAAGCGAGAATTTTAAGAGTGCAGTCTACCGAATATTTAATTAACTTGTTCGATGCCACTTTTCCGTTTTGACATTTAAGAATAATGTTTTTATATTGCTGTCTTTCACACATCAATTAGTTAGAGGAAAGGTCGACACTTTATTTATTTATTTTTTTTCACACAGAGTTTACTCTTTCTCTTATTTCTAATTAATCACATAAACGAATTAGATTTTAGCAACAACAGTATATTATCTATATTCAATTTTTGTTTAAATAAATGTATTAAATGATTTAAGTTAAATAATAAAAATTTTTTTTCGTCGACGCTAAGTGAATAATCGCTTCGAAACTTTGGTTTTTATAAATGTAAAATTTTCAGCGGAAAGTACGTGTGCAGTTCAATAACACGCGTTTATTAACTCACCGACGAATATTGCAAAAAATTTCCAACGACAAATATAACGAGAGCGAATAAAAAATCAAATATAAACATGCTGCATGCTGGTGTAACGACAGATCGTTTGTCGCCTATATCAGTTCATAAACTATAGCACAGATTTCCGCGAACAAATATATATTATCAAACAGTTTTGTATTTGCACAATGGATATTTAGTGTTGATTTTTTTTTTTGGCGTTTGCCAAATGTTTGTTTAAAACGCTACTCGAAGTAAGTCTGACGTTGAAATATTCAAGACAAAAAATTTTCATTTACAATTTTTGAAATTTATTATTTTGCGACTTTTATCATTTTTATATCTCTTTGATATCCTCGCTATTTTATTTTTTTGTTCTGTGATAATGTTACACGCGATAAGTGAAAAAAAAAAATTTCACGATGAAACCGCACGAACTTCACGCACGATATCGCGTGATTAGCCCTCTCCATTCTTTTTTCCCTTGCAATAGCGCTTTCACTGATCCAACAATGCATCGGAATTTTGCGAGTAGCTTTCGCTCCATTTTTTTTGTTCCGCGAGCGGATAACGTTGAGTCACGTCATTGATCGATTATAAGGTAGCCCATTGTTTGATTGAACCGAGATGGACGTAGTTACAACGTAATTCAAAAATTTACGAATATACTGTCTGTCGAAAATTGAATTTAATTGTACTTCAAACGTCAGCACTTATAAAAACAAAGACATATGTAGCTCAAGATGAATTTTGAATATGCACCAATGATTAATTTGATTACATGTATGATTTACATATTTATATTTTATGTATGTGATATGTATATAAATTACAAACTTACTTTTTACTATTGTATAACATTAACACACGTGTCTTTGTTTTTTACAGAACAATCGAAATATCGATGAAAATGTCAATGGGCAATAATAACTATTAGAACAGTTGAAATTCGTATGTTGAGCACGGTCTATTTCCATGATAATAATATTTGTAACGTTGGAGAATATCGATTTAATTAATGGGAGATGCGCAAATGTGACTTCATAATAATGAATAATGCGCAAAAATTAAGCTCTCATAAAATTATGTTTCTCGCTGATTTACGCGATTATAATGTATTAAATACTACGAACTACAGTTTTAAGAAGACTGTGTGAAATCGACAACATATAATATCAGTATAAAAAAAAGTAATATAATAAAGGTTATTATACGTGCACATATGTATTCTAGTAATTATTACTGTTTTATAGCAGCGTTACATTTTGGTCTTTTAAGTGCTCCATCCAAATTATGCCAGTTCCATGCGAGATTTTACTGGCCAATATTTCATATTCCGACTCGCCGTTCCAAATCACCTCCAATGAGATTTAATGTATTCTTTTTTTTTGTGCGCCGCTAAAACACATTCAAAATGAATATTTTTTCGTGTTTAAATATTCCGCGATCATTACTTTCGCGTCGATTTCCCGGTCGCGCCATTAATCATGGATTTGCATAATTTTAATTAAAAAGCACGCGTTCACGAGCGATCGAGAAACAAATTTCATTAAATTCTTCGCCGTTCGCTGATTAACTAGCTGCTCGTGCTAGGTTGGATATACATTAGCAACACTAACGCCGTCGAGATTCATATTTATCGGAGAGTAAAAATCGTGCCGGACAGCTTACTTTCGTCCTTAGAGTATATTTGTGCACTTATTAAAATGTATTAGACATTTCGTAATAAATGGCTTGTTCGCGATAATAAATTATCTCGCTTATTCATTTTACAAATAAAAAGATATTACTGGAAGTTTACGCAAACAGATGGAGATTTTCCCATTGATAATACAGATAAATTTTATAGTTTTATGGTGTTGTTTCAGACAGTATTTTCGTTTAGTAGGAAAAATATAATTCCTGAGATTTTATTACTGAGATATATATTTTGCGCGCACGTCCCGAGTCTCGCGTTTCAATTGCTCGCGCCTCACTGATTTAATGATTCCACGATGTGTAGTGTGGTTTGAGTAGCACATCGACTTCAAAAATATCAGGAAAAGTGGATCAATAAATAGATTTGAAATATCGCGAGTATATATATATACAGGGTGTCCCAGAATTGCCGTACAATCTCTCGTAGGCAGGTAGAAGGAGTAAAACTGAGTCGAAAAGTCCTGAACCATTTTTTTCTATTATTTATAATAAAGGAGTAATTATTGAGTAAATCAGGCCAATTAGC